TTGGATCAGAGTGAGGACGAGCCGCCGTCTGGTGGTGGCTGCATTTTCGGCATTGGATTCCCGTGTGGGGCCTGGGTCTGGCCTCAGGATTCTCTCCTCTTGAAGGAGTTGACTCGGTTTAATAAGGGAGCTGGTGAGTTTTCTTCTTTGTGGAGAGAGATCAGGCCCAGATGAATCAGGTTCAGATGCTGTCCTATTGGCAGTGAAGTTCCCTATGGGGTCCAGATACACAGCAAGGACATTCGGGGAACAACTATTTCAAGTTAAGGGCTCAGGGAGGGCTTCATTGAAGAGACGACGGCCAAGCTCTCATTCCCCTTGAAATTTCCTTGGGTTTTTAAAATCGTGTCAAGCAATCTACAAGTTTTAGAATATCATATATCCTTAATTCCACTGAGATCAAGTAGGGAGAGAAAATGTAGCTAATCAGGTAGGGACTGGTCCTGATGCAGGTCAGGAAACTTGGTTCCAATTCTCAACTCTGCCACTAACTGGTGGCTTTGGAAACACGGGGCCTCTCGTTTCTCATTCATAAAGAGACGCAGACAGACAAGGTGATCTGGAAATTCTGATGGTCTTAGGGTCCTTCTGAGCAGTCTGCTTCTCCCTTCTCTTGAATCCTTGCTGCCTTGTGACGGGAGTCAGGGCAGTGCCACAGCAAAGCCAAGCCTGGAAAGGTGGTTGGAGAGTCCCCAGTCCCTGCCCGCTGGGGACATGAATGTGGTGTGTGGAGGGCAGGTGGGGGTGGGAGGAAGGAGACGGGCTCAGCCTCAGAGTCTGCTGGGCCTCCCAGAAAGCGGCTCTTAGCCAGAACCCTGTGGCTGTGCGGGCTCCGAGGTCGAGCACCCTGTTGTGAGAGGGCCCAGGAAGGGTGAAACTGCTGTGATTATCACTGCCTGCCCAAAGGGCAGAGAGAGTGTCCAAGGTTGAGCAGACCCCGGGAAGAGGTCAGGATATTCTGGTTCAATCTGCTGGCACTGTCGTCAAGGCCATTGGAAAAGACAGAGAGCTACCAAAGCTGTTCAGAAGGGTGAGGCCACTGACAGAGCTGCTCACGCACAGGAATCCAAAAGCGGCCTGGCTTTGGGGTTGACGGGGGAGTTTGGCAACTCTCTTTTCTTTTGAAGTATTTCACTGTTTTCTCTGCCAACATCTCATTTTACTCAAGTTCCAGCTACTCTTTGGGGAAAGTGTGGTTCCTTTCCTCCTCCTGCACAGAAACAATAGACACCCGAGCATGAGAGCTGGAAGGAGTCTCAGCCACTGGTGGCAAAGCCTCCGTTTCACAGATGAAGACACGGAAGCTTTGGTGACTCGCCCAAGGCACAGGAGTTCACAGGGGAACTTAGGACTGCTGTCTTCCGCGTTGGTAGTCTCTCAGTACACGAGGCTCCTCTTAAAGCAGGCTCTCAAAAACCATATAACCCCAAAGTACACTAGTTCCTGTGGTCGGTGGTGGGTGGGTGGTAGTCGGGTGTGTCAGTGCTTTGAGCTGGCAGCTCAGCTTCCTCTGGCTGTCAGTGCTGTGATTACACAGACTTCTGTGTGTAGAAAGCCACCTCCTAAATGGCTGGCCCGTTTTCAGTTTTTAGGGAAACCAGGACAGTCTTCACACTGTTCCTTTGCTGATATGCACCATAACGGTAATCTTTCTTGACTGGTATTTTATAGCAGGCACATCAACTGTGCAGAAAAAAATTGCAGCTCTGGGCTGCCTTGTATTTCCTGAAGGAGCCAGACTTAGGGCCCTTGTGAGATAACCAGTGCTGTGATTAGGTGACATGATACCCCCAAGGTACCCCCAAAGCATGTTGTGAACTGCAGGACGGATCAAACCTCAGCTAGTGGATTCCCATCCCTCTGCACAGTGTAATGAGTGTAGGCCTGCTTATTGGGCTAGCCTAGGATAATAATGGGCTAGCCTAGGATAACAGAAATGTATTTAGATTATACATGTTGGAAGAGAATTCAGCCACACAAAAATACCATGCTGCAGTTCTCGACCCAGGAAAGTTAAAAATTAACAAACTCAAGGGACTTGCCTGGTGGTGCAGTGGTTAAGACTCCTAGCTCCCAATGCAGGGGGCCTGTGTTCGATCCCAGGTCAGGGAACTAGATCCCACATGCATGCTGCAACTGAGAGTTCACATGCCACAACTAAGGAGCCAGTGAGCCGCAACTAAGGAGCCCGCCTGCTGCAACTAAGACCAGCGCGACCAAATAAATAAATAAAATTTAAAAACAAAACACAAACTCAAGTGATGTGCCTATTACATGTGAGCTAACAGATCAGAGGAGGAAAGAAAGAAGCTTTAGTTTGGGGCCCTGCCTTTCAGGAACTTAAAGTCAGAGGAAGGGTGTCTTAGTCAGTGCAGGCTGCTATAACAAAATGCCATAGACTGAGTGACTTACAAGCAACAGCAATTTATTTCGTATAGTTCTGGAGGCTGGAAGTAGGATATCAGGGTGCCAGCAGGGTCTGCTTCTGGTGAAGGCCAGCCCTCTTCTGGGTTGCAAATGGCCCCCTTCTCATATCCTCACATGATGGAAAGAGGGCAAGGGAGCTGTCTGGCATCTCCTTTACAAGGGCACTAATCCCATTCATGAGGGCTCCACCCTAACGGCCTGATTACTGCCTCCCAAAGGCCTTACCTCCTAATACCATTACATTGGGGGTTAGGATTTCAACATATGAATTTGGGGAAGACACAAACGTTCAGTCTATAGCAAAGAGTAATTCCAAGGTATTAGCACAATGAAGGATTAGTATAGCACTAGGAATTTGTAGAGCAGGGGTTGGATGGGTTGGGAAGAGAATGCCCAATCTTGGACTCTGGTTCCTATTTTAATGCAATAATAAAAAAAAAATGAACAGTGACTAACATTTATTGGGTGCTCACTGTCTGCTGGACACTACAGGTTGGGCTCTTCAGAAGCAGGCCTGGAGACAGAGTTTGGGGTATCAGGGTCACCACCTGTGAAGGAAAAGGGGAAGAAGCACGATTAGGGGGAAGAGCTCATTCTACAGTGCAGGCCCCCTAAACTCTTGGTCACACTGGTGGAAAATTCTAGAGCAAGTATTGTCCATGAATGTCCCGTATCAAGCAGAAACAGCTAGGCCTTTATCCATCCCTACCCTTCTCCCTCAGTCATCAGATACTCCTGGCAAGGGCCTGACCTCAGCTTGGTGGTTCTCTGCAGCTGGGGCAGCCTAGAAGGAGCTGACAGCTGGCTGGGAGGCTGTTGACCGCACTCCCTGCAGCTGGGCAGCAAATCCTTGAAGGGCTCCCTGGATAGTGCATCTCCATGACGCTCTGGCTGTGCTAAGATCTTTGAATGTATTTAATCTTTCCAATGAGACAGGTACTGTTACTTCACAAATGAGTTAACAGAGGCTTAGAAATGGTAAATAGGGCTTCCCTGGTGGCGCAGTGTTTGAGAATCTACCCTGCTAATGCAGGGGACACGGGTTCGAGCCCTGGTCTGGGAGGATCCCATATGCCACGGAGCAACTAGGCCCGTAAGCCACAACTACTGAGCCTACGCGTCTGGAGCCTGTGCTCCGCAGCAAGAGAGGCCGCGATAGTGAGAGGCCCGCACACCGCGATGAAGAGTGGCCCCCGCTTGCCACAACTAGAGAAAGCCCTCGCACAGAAATGAAGACCCAACACAGCCAAAAATAAAATAAATAAATAAATAAAAAGCCAAGCATTTGAAGCCCTTTAAAAAAATAAAATTAATTAATTAATTAAAAAAAGAAATGGTAGGTAATTTGTCCAGGGTTACCAGTGGATGATTGTGGTTGTGATTTATAATAAGAAATATATATGTGGCCTTTGTCCCTGTTTCTGGCACAGAGCTCCTAAAACCCTTGGAATTTCCTAAGCAATGAGAACAAAAAAGATGTCTTGATGTTTATAAAAACCTCTTTCAGCCATACCTGAGTTTATGTTAATGAGGTGACCAACCACGTGATAAGAACATTCATTCTCCCCCACCCCCGCCCCAACCCCCAGAGAAGGGAGAGGGGCTAGAGGTTGAGTTCAATCAGCAATGGCCAATGATCTAATCAATACTGCCTAGGTACTGAAGCCTCCATAAAATCCCAAAAAGATTCAGACAGCTTCCAGGTTGGGTAACCAAAATGCTTTCACATGCCACCACATGGGGCCCCAAATTCCACAAGGATAGAAGCGCCTTTGTTTGAGACCTCACCCTATGTATCTCCCCATCTGGCTGTGGATTCATATTCTTTAATAGCTTTTTGTAATAAACCAGAGCAGGTTTCCTGAGTTCTGTGAGCTGCCCTAGAAAATTAATTGAACCCAAAGAGGGAGTGTGGGAATCTCTGATTTATAGCCAGTCTGTCAGAAGTATAGGTAACAACCTGGACTTGTGATTGGCATCTGAAGCTGGGTGGGGGAGGTCATTCTTGTGGGACTGAGCCCTTAACCTCTGGGATCTGATGCCATCTCCCAGTAGATACTATTAGCACGGAGTTGAATTGTAGGACACCCAGCAGGTGTCCAAGAATTGCTTGATGGTGTGGGGAAAACTCCCCACATCCCTACACAGTGCAGTTGGGTACAGAACCCCTTTTAATGATGGAGAGAGGCTTTAGCTGTGGGCGAATCTAATTTTTGCATTCTTCCTTTCCTTTCCTCTTTTTTCTGCTCTAGTCCCAATTAGGGCAAGAGTTGGCTGTGATTCTGATCATCCTACCAGATTTATGAAGTGCACACACATACCACGTTGTTTCTTGAAACTGCAGCTTTTCTGCAAGTTTCATATGAATAATTCCCTTTGATTGTAGGAGAGGACTGGAAGAGAAACTTCCAGAAACCAGAACCGAATTTGTTTTTGTTTTTGTTTACCAGGAACACCAACTAGAGCTTCTGGGGTTGGGGCCCTTTATAGAATGGACCCAAATCTCAGCTGTCTTTACCAGTTTCCAGGATTAGAAGCGAGCTGCTGGCATCGTCCTGGGCATTAATGAGAGGATGACGGGGGAAGAGGTGAGATTCCTTAGCGCCCTGTTCTGATTCTCTGTCACTGATACTGCATACGGGGTTCTCTGGCGTCAGGCTCCCCCAGGCCCCTCCCTCGTCTCAAAACACCGCTGTAGCAAGAGAACATTTTTTCTGGTCCTCCAGACTCCAGCGAGGAGCCATGGTGGGAAGAGGTGATCCTTCTAGAAAAAAAGCCTCCAAAGTCGGAGTTATGCTCACTGTCGCTCTTGTCCAGTCTCTAGTCGGTGGGGTGCCCGTGAGGCTGGTAGGGGGCAGGCACTCGGGGAGGCGGGAAAGGGGCGAGGGCTCGGGAAGGGGCGGGGACTCGGGGAGGGGTCGCGGAGGGGCCTGGAGCGCGCGCAGTTAGCCCTCTGGGAGAGCCGATCCCGTCCCTACTGGCGCTTACTCTGCGACGCAGGCTCGGCGCAGGAGCGGAGCTCAGCTCTGGGTCACCGGACCCCCGGGAAAGGAGGTGCGAGCGAATCCTGCGCTCCAGAGGAAGTGGGCGTGTGGGTACCCGACCGCGGGGCTCTGGAGCGGGGCGCGTGTCTCGTTTTGCTGCGAACGTTGGATGCCAGACGCGGGGAATCATCGGTCAGAAAAGTCTCCGGAGTCGGGTCTCCGGAGTCGGGTCCTCGGGGGAAGGCGACCGAGCAAGACGGAAAGTCCGCCCTTATCGGATCCTTGCGCCCCCGGTCGGGCCCTGCCTCTCCCCCATAACGCTTCCCTCTCCAGCCGTTTCTTGCGCCCAGGCCTTTCATGTCCCCACGTCGGTCCCTGGCGCAGACTCTGGGCCCTTACTGGGCCCGTACTGGCGTCTTCCTCGACGTTGGGAGGAGTACGGGAACCACGGACCAAGACCTCCCTGCTCCCTTCACCGGGTAAAGTCCAGGACGTCCTAGTCTTTGCGCTGTGCAAGGACCTCCTCCAACAGCGGGATCCTGCCAGGGGCACCTCTTCAGCGCAGGGAGAAGGACCCTGCAGGAAGCCGGGGGTGCATTTGGTTGATTTTAAGGGAGAAGGCTGGTGCCTCCGTCCTGGCCTCACGACCTGGCCTTTGTTCCAAATCTCGGCCCTGCTCGGAAGCCTCCAGAACTCCCGGCCAGGAAGCCTTCACGGCGGCACCAGAGGTGACCAAGGCCCTAGTCCAGCATAGGGCAGAGCAGGGGTGAGGCAGGTACGCTACGCCTTGGCTTCAGTGCGGGGCTCCTCTGATTTCTCACCTGTACGCTGCTGAGAAACGTCCTGGTGTGTGCTGGCGTCCTGCACTTTTGCCACCAGCGTGCACAAAAGGTCATCTTGGACCTCCTGGTGGCTCTGCTGGTGATGCCTTGGAAAGTGGCAACCCAGGCAGCTGGCTGCTAGCCCTTTGGGGACTTGTGTGACATCTGACTGGCCTTTGGCATCATGTGCTCCACCACCTTTATCCTGCACTTGTGCCTCAGCAGACCAGCCCCTTCAACTACCAGCAGCATGTGACCCGCAGGGCTGCTTTGGTGGCCGTTGCGGTGACTGAAGGTGACACTTCAGTTTTCCTATCCTTCATCCCTGGCAAATGGAGCAGCTAGCATAGGGCAGAGCCCAGCCTGACAGTACAGAGCTCCCTGTCTGGGTTCAAAGATGTACCCCGAGCCTCAGCTTCACCTGTGCAGTAGCCTGCTCAATGATGGTCATAGTGGTAGCAGGCTGAGGGCCCTCGGAGCCAGGCTGTGTGTGGACAGCGGGGGCCCATACTCAGCCAGGACCCACGGTCACTTGATTAACATTGTGACATCCTCCCTTCCCCTCATAGGGTAGGGGTTGGGCAAACAGGATGGAGTGGCCCTTTCTGATTTTGCCTAGAAATTGTGTTGGGTGGTAGAGAAAGGTCACCACCTAAGGCCGGCAGCAGGACCTGTGATTTTGTGGCCCTGGACCCTGGGGTCCGTGGCTAGAGGAGATCAGGAGAGCCTTTGATCTGGTTCTTTTGGAGCTGGAGTTCCTAGAATGCCTCACCTGTATGCAGGGGGTCCCATCTCCACCAGCCTTATACCGTGCTAGGTGCTTTACGTGGGTTAACCTCATTATGGATTAATTCATCTTTGAGGCCTCAGTGAGGCCAGAGCTCTTATCCCCATTTCACAGATGAAGAAACTAAAACAGAGAGATGGTTAACCAATTTGCTTAGAGTCACACAGCTAACAAGTAATCAAACCAGTATTCGAACGGATAGTCTGACCCCAGTACTTGCCCTGATGACCACTACGCTATGCTAGGCTAATGGGAGGAGGGAGAGCTTGGGATGGAATGCCTATCTCTTTTTGGCTATTTTAATAAATTACTTAGGACTTGCTTGCTTCTTATGTGTTTATGGAGGCATTTACTCATTCTGTACAAAATACAGTCGTATGTGTCCTCAGTCTGGCTTTTCTGTTGTTCCACGGGCAGAGATGCATGTTTGCTGTCACTGCGGTGGGTGGGTGTTTGGAGCCACCCTCATTCTCACTGGGGACAACTGTGGGCTGGCTTTCTGTGTGTGCAGGGATGGGCCAGCGTGACCCAGTGCAGGCAGGAGACGAGAGATCCGGGTTCTGGCTCCATCACTGTAGGGCGGTGTGGCGTAAGGAAAGATCCAATGGAATAATTATTTCTGTTTAGCCTGCCTCAAAGGGAGGTGTTGCAAAGAAATGGGAACTTTGTAAATGCTTTTTGAAAGTATCAAGTGCTACATAAATGAAAGGCATCATGAAGGTGGGGTTCTCCAGACTGCCTCCTCTGGAATCAGGGCCACTTCCCCCAGGTGGCTGAGCCATTGGTCTTCTGAAACCTCAGTCTCAAACACAAATCAGGTGTCTGCCCTGCTGTGGCCTGACCCCCTCCCTACTTGGGTGTTTGAGCTGGGCTCTGGAAGGGGAGGAAAGGTTGAACTGGCACTGCCATTTATTAGCTGTTTGAGCTTGGGCAAGTCACTTAACCTCTCTAATGTCTTCATCTATAAAATGAGGATGACAACTGTACTACCACATAGCACTGTTGTGAGCAATGAGTTAAATTATGCAAAGGGTGCATAATTTAACTGCCTGGGGCCTGGTACAGAGTGAGCCAATTCAACACGTGTTAGCTCTCAGACCCTTATATACGCCTTGTTGTCCTCCAGACAGGTCCATCCAGGGCCCTTCTGAGTTCATTGTGGAACTCTCCTATCTTGCCGGCGGGCGACTGTGTGGGATGTCCTAAGAGATGTGTAAAGCAGTTTGTATTTTGTTTTGTTTCACGTAGTGCTTGTATCTGGATAGACCTTCACATGCTTCTCTATACCTCTCTGTGTCTGTGCCCCTCTGCAGTGTTTTGCTGATACACATTAGATTAAAAATAAACACCAGGATCCTCATAGTCAAATATTGACTAATAAATTATGTAAAGACATTTTAAAGAATTAAGCAAATAAGAGTCTAGATTTTCATTAGAAATTCTTAATTTTCACCCAGTTCTCTTAGGACAGATCATCTGCAATCTATTGCAAATTCACTTGTAAGGGTGGGCTGGGCTGGATCATGTGACTGTCCTTTATAAAAAAATATTATACATTTTTCCTGTCTTCCTTTTCGTTTTTTGCTTTATATCTTTATTAAGGCAAAGAGACACAATTTTTCTTTTGCTATCCTTTACCTCTTTTTCTTTGTTTGTACTTTATGTTGGATAGAGTTTTTATATTATTATTATTTTCCTGTGATAATTTGAAAGCTACAGATTATATTTCTAGTCTTTCAGTGATTACCTTCAAATTTTTAGCATATGGATTTAACTATACATTTTTCTAACAAATTCTAAAATTCTTCCTTATCTCTCTCTTTTCCCTTTCAAGCTATGCATTGAATACCACTCCCTGCCCATCTTTTTATTGTTGGCTTCAGTTTGGCTTGAGAAAAATAAATGTTTTATTATGGCAGATTTCAACCATACACAATAATGAGGAGAATAGGGCACCTATCACCCAGTTTCAATAATGATCAGCGTTTTGCCAATCTTGTTTCACCTGTAATACCTCACTTCTCCCCTCCCCAACATATTTTAAAGCAAATCTAAGACATCATGCCATTTCATCCATACACACTTTAGTATGAAAAAACAGATGAAAAACGTAACTACAGTAACAATAAATACACCGGAAAAGTAAGAACAGTCCTTCATATCGTCTAGTACCCAGGGCTGTATTCAGATTTCCCTGACTTTATCAAACATGTCCAATAGTAAATTGGTTTGTCCGAATCTGGCTCTACAAAGGCCCATCTCTTGCATTTGATTGACAAGTCTTTTCTTAGCATTAGTAGTTCTTTTGTTTTCTTGGGTTTTTTTTTTTTTTCATGTATTAGAGTTTTGGTTTGTAAAGTTCTTTTGTGGGTGGTTTTTCCTCTTTCTTTGAGCTCACTCATCCTTGCCTGGTGTTTCTGTGCTTGCCTCCACCCCTGCCCCAGGACACTCAGTTAAGAACCAGGTTTTTTCTTGGCAGCTAAGAGCCATGTCGTTATTGGGGATACCATTGACCCAGTTGGCTAGCACTGGCGCTTACTCTGCGACGCAGGCTCGGCGCAGGAGCGGAGCTCAGCTCTGGGTCACCGGACCCCCGGGAAAGGAGGTGCGAGCGAATCCTGCGCTCCAGAGGAAGTGGGCGTGTGGGTACCCGACCGCGGGGCTCTGGAGCGGGGCGCGTGTCTCGTTTTGCTGCGAACGTTGGATGCCAGACGCGGGGAATCATCGGTCAGAAAAGTCTCCGGAGTCGGGTCTCCGGAGTCGGGTCCTCGGGGGAAGGCGACCGAGCAAGACGGAAAGTCCGCCCTTATCGGATCCTTGCGCCCCCGGTCGGGCCCTGCCTCTCCCCCATAACGCTTCCCTCTCCAGCCGTTTCTTGCGCCCAGGCCTTTCATGTCCCCACGTCGGTCCCTGGCGCAGACTCTGGGCCCTTACTGGGCCCGTACTGGCGTCTTCCTCGACGTTGGGAGGAGTACGGGAACCACGGACCAAGACCTCCCTGCTCCCTTCACCGGGTAAAGTCCAGGACGTCCTAGTCTTTGCGCTGTGCAAGGACCTCCTCCAACAGCGGGATCCTGCCAGGGGCACCTCTTCAGCGCAGGGAGAAGGACCCTGCAGGAAGCCGGGGGTGCATTTGGTTGATTTTAAGGGAGAAGGCTGGTGCCTCCGTCCTGGCCTCACGACCTGGCCTTTGTTCCAAATCTCGGCCCTGCTCGGAAGCCTCCAGAACTCCCGGCCAGGAAGCCTTCACGGCGGCACCAGAGGTGACCAAGGCCCTAGTCCAGCATAGGGCAGAGCAGGGGTGAGGCAGGTACGCTACGCCTTGGCTTCAGTGCGGGGCTCCTCTGATTTCTCACCTGTACGCTGCTGAGAAACGTCCTGGTGTGTGCTGGCGTCCTGCACTTTTGCCACCAGCGTGCACAAAAGGTCATCTTGGACCTCCTGGTGGCTCTGCTGGTGATGCCTTGGAAAGTGGCAACCCAGGCAGCTGGCTGCTAGCCCTTTGGGGACTTGTGTGACATCTGACTGGCCTTTGGCATCATGTGCTCCACCACCTTTATCCTGCACTTGTGCCTCAGCAGACCAGCCCCTTCAACTACCAGCAGCATGTGACCCGCAGGGCTGCTTTGGTGGCCGTTGCGGTGACTGAAGGTGACACTTCAGTTTTCCTATCCTTCATCCCTGGCAAATGGAGCAGCTAGCATAGGGCAGAGCCCAGCCTGACAGTACAGAGCTCCCTGTCTGGGTTCAAAGATGTACCCCGAGCCTCAGCTTCACCTGTGCAGTAGCCTGCTCAATGATGGTCATAGTGGTAGCAGGCTGAGGGCCCTCGGAGCCAGGCTGTGTGTGGACAGCGGGGGCCCATACTCAGCCAGGACCCACGGTCACTTGATTAACATTGTGACATCCTCCCTTCCCCTCATAGGGTAGGGGTTGGGCAAACAGGATGGAGTGGCCCTTTCTGATTTTGCCTAGAAATTGTGTTGGGTGGTAGAGAAAGGTCACCACCTAAGGCCGGCAGCAGGACCTGTGATTTTGTGGCCCTGGACCCTGGGGTCCGTGGCTAGAGGAGATCAGGAGAGCCTTTGATCTGGTTCTTTTGGAGCTGGAGTTCCTAGAATGCCTCACCTGTATGCAGGGGGTCCCATCTCCACCAGCCTTATACCGTGCTAGGTGCTTTACGTGGGTTAACCTCATTATGGATTAATTCATCTTTGAGGCCTCAGTGAGGCCAGAGCTCTTATCCCCATTTCACAGATGAAGAAACTAAAACAGAGAGATGGTTAACCAATTTGCTTAGAGTCACACAGCTAACAAGTAATCAAACCAGTATTCGAACGGATAGTCTGACCCCAGTACTTGCCCTGATGACCACTACGCTATGCTAGGCTAATGGGAGGAGGGAGAGCTTGGGATGGAATGCCTATCTCTTTTTGGCTATTTTAATAAATTACTTAGGACTTGCTTGCTTCTTATGTGTTTATGGAGGCATTTACTCATTCTGTACAAAATACAGTCGTATGTGTCCTCAGTCTGGCTTTTCTGTTGTTCCACGGGCAGAGATGCATGTTTGCTGTCACTGCGGTGGGTGGGTGTTTGGAGCCACCCTCATTCTCACTGGGGACAACTGTGGGCTGGCTTTCTGTGTGTGCAGGGATGGGCCAGCGTGACCCAGTGCAGGCAGGAGACGAGAGATCCGGGTTCTGGCTCCATCACTGTAGGGCGGTGTGGCGTAAGGAAAGATCCAATGGAATAATTATTTCTGTTTAGCCTGCCTCAAAGGGAGGTGTTGCAAAGAAATGGGAACTTTGTAAATGCTTTTTGAAAGTATCAAGTGCTACATAAATGAAAGGCATCATGAAGGTGGGGTTCTCCAGACTGCCTCCTCTGGAATCAGGGCCACTTCCCCCAGGTGGCTGAGCCATTGGTCTTCTGAAACCTCAGTCTCAAACACAAATCAGGTGTCTGCCCTGCTGTGGCCTGACCCCCTCCCTACTTGGGTGTTTGAGCTGGGCTCTGGAAGGGGAGGAAAGGTTGAACTGGCACTGCCATTTATTAGCTGTTTGAGCTTGGGCAAGTCACTTAACCTCTCTAATGTCTTCATCTATAAAATGAGGATGACAACTGTACTACCACATAGCACTGTTGTGAGCAATGAGTTAAATTATGCAAAGGGTGCATAATTTAACTGCCTGGGGCCTGGTACAGAGTGAGCCAATTCAACACGTGTTAGCTCTCAGACCCTTATATACGCCTTGTTGTCCTCCAGACAGGTCCATCCAGGGCCCTTCTGAGTTCATTGTGGAACTCTCCTATCTTGCCGGCGGGCGACTGTGTGGGATGTCCTAAGAGATGTGTAAAGCAGTTTGTATTTTGTTTTGTTTCACGTAGTGCTTGTATCTGGATAGACCTTCACATGCTTCTCTATACCTCTCTGTGTCTGTGCCCCTCTGCAGTGTTTTGCTGATACACATTAGATTAAAAATAAACACCAGGATCCTCATAGTCAAATATTGACTAATAAATTATGTAAAGACATTTTAAAGAATTAAGCAAATAAGAGTCTAGATTTTCATTAGAAATTCTTAATTTTCACCCAGTTCTCTTAGGACAGATCATCTGCAATCTATTGCAAATTCACTTGTAAGGGTGGGCTGGGCTGGATCATGTGACTGTCCTTTATAAAAAAATATTATACATTTTTCCTGTCTTCCTTTTCGTTTTTTGCTTTATATCTTTATTAAGGCAAAGAGACACAATTTTTCTTTTGCTATCCTTTACCTCTTTTTCTTTGTTTGTACTTTATGTTGGATAGAGTTTTTATATTATTATTATTTTCCTGTGATAATTTGAAAGCTACAGATTATATTTCTAGTCTTTCAGTGATTACCTTCAAATTTTTAGCATATGGATTTAACTATACATTTTTCTAACAAATTCTAAAATTCTTCCTTATCTCTCTCTTTTCCCTTTCAAGCTATGCATTGAATACCACTCCCTGCCCATCTTTTTATTGTTGGCTTCAGTTTGGCTTGAGAAAAATAAATGTTTTATTATGGCAGATTTCAACCATACACAATAATGAGGAGAATAGGGCACCTATCACCCAGTTTCAATAATGATCAGCGTTTTGCCAATCTTGTTTCACCTGTAATACCTCACTTCTCCCCTCCCCAACATATTTTAAAGCAAATCTAAGACATCATGCCATTTCATCCATACACACTTTAGTATGAAAAAACAGATGAAAAACGTAACTACAGTAACAATAAATACACCGGAAAAGTAAGAACAGTCCTTCATATCGTCTAGTACCCAGGGCTGTATTCAGATTTCCCTGACTTTATCAAACATGTCCAATAGTAAATTGGTTTGTCCGAATCTGGCTCTACAAAGGCCCATCTCTTGCATTTGATTGACAAGTCTTTTCTTAGCATTAGTAGTTCTTTTGTTTTCTTGGGTTTTTTTTTTTTTTCATGTATTAGAGTTTTGGTTTGTAAAGTTCTTTTGTGGGTGGTTTTTCCTCTTTCTTTGAGCTCACTCATCCTTGCCTGGTGTTTCTGTGCTTGCCTCCACCCCTGCCCCAGGACACTCAGTTAAGAACCAGGTTTTTTCTTGGCAGCTAAGAGCCATGTCGTTATTGGGGATACCATTGACCCAGTTGGCTAGCAGGTGGCTTGCCCGAGGAATTCTTCACAAGGCAACATCTTTGGTCTTTTACCTTCTGGAAGAAAGCCATAGATAGCTCCTTGGGGTGGTCAAATGTAGCTTTATTCTGTGTAACTGCATAAATGGGGACACTCCCCCTTTATCCCTAGCTTTAAGTGGTTGGGTGGCTTTGACCACCTCCTCGCATGGGGCACTTTTATTCCTTTTTAATCCACATGGACTGAAACCCCAGAGGCCTCTGCTGGTTTCCAGACCAGAGCCCAGCTGGCTCGTAGCCTTAGCCACGAGCACGAGCATTCCCTGCATGCCATTTATCTTGGCATCTCTTGGTAACCTCCACCCACAAGTGGAGGCCTTCGTGCTGATACTTTTTTTTCTGTTCAGCCTCCAAGTTATCTGAAGAGGGTGTGGTGGAAACTGGGTTCATGGGCAGCCTTCCTCTGAGAGCTTTGTTTCTGAGTCTCTCTGAATGTGCTGAAGTCCTCTCTCACGGCCCAGCTCTCAAGAGGTGTGGGTATGGCTTGTGTCCTGGGTTTTTGGTTGGTTCCTTCATTTTGGGGAGAGATGGCTACTCTGCTGAGAAAGTTGGGCCTTTGTTTTCTAAGTAGCAAGCATATCCTTCCAGGTCGTGTGTGGTCCATAGCTGCTAGGTGGTCTTGCCTCTCAGCCTCACCCTAACCCTAACCGCCCATCATGGAAGCCTGGTCAGATACATGGTACCATTGTGTGCCCCCTCAGCGTCCTCTCAGGTCTAATTCCACTTCAGTTAAGCCAGTGTGGAGTGTGGGTGGGGCTGGTGGAGTCAGAATCCAAATGGGTGTCCCTATTCTTCCTGCTGCCTTTTGCCCTCTACACCCCCAGGGGCCGGATGCCCCTCCAGGCCGGAGGCTGGGGCAGGGGACCTGTTAGGCCTTCAGAATCTCTTCTTACAACGAGGGCTGAAAAGGAGACTCATGACTCACCTCCTTGAGGTCTCTTTGCACTTGGTGTTGTCTTTATTCTAGGTCCTTTTTATTCTTTTTTTTTTTTTTTTTTTTTTGAGTATGCGGGCCTCTCACTGCTGTGGCCTCTCCCCTTGCGGAGCACAGGCTCCGGACGCGCAGGCTCAGCGGCCATGGCTCACG